AGAAACGCAGTTTTTTTTTTTTTTTTTCCCCCGGAGCAAGAAAGTTTTTTTTTTTTTTTTTTTTTTTTTTTTTTTTGGCAGGTATTCTTCTTCTTTTCTTGATTAGTGGTTTGCAAAGGCATTACTGCCACCAACTGGTCAGATGTGTGGTTTCCTTCTTTGTCCCATTGTTCCTTTTTAATCTCATCTTTACTGTACTTCATATTTATATCTACGTGTACATGCATAACAAATATTCAACAGTGCATTACTAGAATCAGAAAACAAAATCTAATATATCTTTGTTTGTGCCTCCTACACAATTACTTAAATAACTAATAGTTTATATGTAGTCTGTATATACTTTGTCATGCTCTGAATATTCTTCCTTCATATGATCATATACCTGTTTTTAATTGTTTAGCCATCTGCCTTTTATAACAAATAAGAAGTTAATTGATGGAGTAATTGTGGGTGATATAATTAAAAATGGTATAACTGGACCAATCTTTATGGACATTTTCTTTATAACATGATCATTCACTATTGAACCATTCCTTGAAACAGCATGCCCATATCTTTGACACTTATAGGTATGCTTACAAAAGAGGAAAAAGTCAAAAATCATAAGTTTCAAGAATGTGACAACAATGTACAGGAAAAATATTGCAAGCTATGCAGAGCCAGTAAAGAAGGGTGATTGCAAGAAGTGAAGAAAATGTTGCAGGACTGACCTTCCTGCACATGTGATCGATTGCACTGATTAGATTTAACATAAGATTGAGGAAAAAGTAAAAATTCTGAGAGGAACAGAGAAATTATGGGGAATGAAAGAGCTTTCATGAGAATATGTTGCCAAAAAGCTGAAACAGCAGAAAAGTCAGGAAAAACAAATGATACGACAAACTCAATATTTTAAAATAAAATGTAAGAAGTCATATAGCAGATGGATAGGAGTATAAATCATTTTAATATTTAAAAAATTTCTTAAGAAACCAAATGCTTTTTGTGTTGATTTAGACAAGAATATGCAGAATAATTCAAAGCTTGTATTATGTATTATGCTCACCACTGATTAGATATTCTGATAGAAATGCAACAATTATTGTACCAAATTCAAATGATGGGTGTTTCTGTTATGTTTTAATGGGTGTACCTGTGGGGTTAAAAGGAAATTAAATTGCAGATAAGGTTGCAAAAAGTAGCTCCTTTGTCATGGTGGTTGACGGAGGTCAAATAGGATTTTAAAACATTCAAAAAGACTGAAGGAATGGTGCAAAGGCAATGGGAAGAAGAGAGGAAAGTTGGAGAAACGAAGATTGCAGAAAGAAACCGGAAAGAGGACATTGTTATTTCATTCAGATTTTTACAGAGTGGATAAAATTAAACATTATTCATAATCATAAACATATTTCAGGTAGATGTAATTATTGTGGACGAAGAGAACCAGTGGAGTGTGATGTGGAGCAAGAAGATATAACGAAAGTTATTGGTTGAAATTCTTGTAAAAGTGAAAGACATTTTATGTAGAAAAACTCGAGTAATTAATGTTATCAGTATTTATTTAAATATCTAACAAAGAAAGGTCTAATTAAAAGAATATTAGGGGCTTTTTTATGAAGCAAAGTTAAAAAAAATTGTCACTCGGACACACACTATTCACCAGTTGGTGGCGGTAATGCACTTTGTTTGCCAGCCGCCAGTAAACACCAGAAGAAGAAGAACAAGAACAAGAAGAAAACACGAAAAAGCTGAAAATAGAGGCGTGGAGACAACAGTTCAGACGGTGACAGAGATTTGGAAACAGCTTTAAAAACGAGGACAAAGCAAACACAACATCATGGAGGCTCGTTTCTACCATAAGGGTCTGTTGAACGGATTAGGTTAGTATGTTTTCGTGTCTGTTGCAGCTGAGAGACATTTTAAGGTGACTAACGGACTAATTACCTTCTTAAAGCTCAAATGCAGCCAATAGACAGTAAATGTTAAATACTAAGTTAGACGGTAGAAACGATCCAGGAAACCGATACATGTTATTTTCGAAACGAGGGTTCCCGTGTTAAAGAAAATCTAAAACTTGTTTTCAATTCGACAGTGGTTCCGACCAGACATGTAGAATAAAGCTTGGTTTATGGTTGATGAATGCGCTCTGTGAGGATCTCTGTGAGGATAACAGGCCAACTTACTCCAGCAGCCTTTTTTACCCTGTATCCAGCTCCCTCACTGTCCCCAATCAAATCATTTTATTTCACTGCTGTCATGATTATTGTTGTCTCTGTATTCATAACCAAAAATATTTTATAAGTGAGCATCCCACTTATTGGCAAATGCAGTAGTTTACCAGAGAAGAAAATGCCACAAGAATAAAAAATATATCTGTTTTATATATATATATATATATATATATATATATATATATATATATATATATATATATATATATAATTATTACTTATATAAATATATTTATTTTTTATTGCACTTATATAAAAGTCAGTCCTGAGGGTAAAAAGTGTCAGATTTTGCTTTTTTCCTCCTGTAAAAATAATTATGCATAAAAATTTAAGTTATTAATTTATGACTTGTTCAAAGCTGAGACATACAGATCAGAAATATTCCATTTTGCAGTTCATTTTTGGAAACTTTGCATATCTAGGGGTTTTTTAATTTTATAAATCAAGCGTTTTTGGACAAAACAGGCATAAAATTATGGAACAACTTTTTTTTAAATATGAAAACTTTATATTTATGGGTAGGTTTGAAGCTGTTGAAAATGGAAACTTAAACAAAAATGTTAGGCTTCAGATACATCAGCTCAGCCAACATTGCAGTCTACATACTTTCTAATATGTTCCCATGTTTTCCTGCAGATGTTAAGCAGATGTTGATGGTTAAAGAAGAAACTCCTGAAGACCACAGATCTGTTGCTGAGCTGCATGACCCAAAGCCGCAGCAGATAAAGGAGGAAGAGGAGGAAGTCTGCATCATTCTGGGGACAGAGCAGCTCAATGCAAAGGAGGAGACTGATGTTGCTCCTATAAAGAGTGAGGATGATAAAGAGTCCATTCTGCTCTCACAGAATCTTTATCAAGACCACATTAAAAGCAGAGAGCTTTCAGAAGAGGCAGAAGATGATTTCATTTCTGTAGTCATTAAGGATGACGAAGAGGACAGTGATGTAAATCACTCAGTGTCTGAGCTTGAACACTTGTCAGACTCTGGACAGAAAACTGAGGACGAGGACAGTGACTGGAAGGAGAGAGGAGCTCCTGAGTCAGACGGAAACATTAACAACCCTTGTAGCTCCTCTGAGTTTCCTGAAGAATCTGTTCACTGTTGCCCCGTTCAGGAAGACGTGACACATTCAGAAACGGGATCTTCGAGCTCGCTGCATAAGGAATGTTTTACAGAGAAGAAAAGCGTGGAGTCAGGAAGGAAAGTCCAGACTGGAATGAAGTTTAGTTGTGAAGACTGTGGTAAAGCGCTCAGCGGAAAATACACTTTAAACACACATAAGACAATCCACACAGGACAGAAAGCGTTCTGTTGTGATGTCTGTGGACGAAGATTTGGTGATAAATCGGGTTTAAAAAGACACAAGATAATCCATACAGGAGACAAACCTTTCTGTTGTGACGTTTGCGGACAAAGATTTGGTTATAAATCGAGCATAAACACACACATGATAACACACACGGGGCAGAAACCGTTCAGCTGTGATATTTGTGGACAGAGATTTAGCCAAAAAGGAAGCTTAAACACACACGTGAGCAGCCACACCGGACAGAAGCATTTCTGCTGCGATCTCTGCGGACAAAGATTTAACCGTAAGTCAAGCTTAAACACACACATGAGAACCCACACAGGCCAGAAACCATTCTGTTGTGATATTTGCGGACAAAGATTTAGCCAAAAATCCACTCTGACTACACACGCGAGAATCCACACGGGACAGAAGCCTTTCTGTTGTGACGTCTGCGGACGAAGATTCGGCGACAAGTCAAGTTTAAACAGACACAAGATAATCCACACCGGACAGCAACCTTTCTGTTGTGTTATCTGTGGACGAAGATTTGGTAACAAATCAAGTTTAAACAGACACATGAGAATCCACTCTGGAGGGGAAATTGTTTTACACTGAATATTTGAACAACACCGCAGTAGACGACTGTGAAATAGTTGCACGTTGTCATTAACAACAACAATCTTCACTCTTTTCTCCTGTGTTGAAATTTGCATTTCACCCTTAAAGCCATTTATATAAGTCACTGATTTGCTTCCTTGTACTAATTGATCGTTTGTTTGCTAGGCATGTTTTATTCAAACTGTTTTTATCAGCTCTCAGTGCATGTGAACAGGTTTACTGTTTGAGAAAGAGAATCAAAGCACTAAGTTGACCATGAACTCCTCTGTAAACCACAGTTTGCTCGAGTCAAGATAAAGTCGGCCAATCTTTGGACTAAAGTGAATCGTGAGGAAAATGATCCCCAACGCAGCAGCAGATATAGATACTATCATCCATCCCTACTTAAAAAGAGAACCGCTTCTAATTATGGTTTTTACACCCTCGGCTTGTTTGTGTTGCAACTTGAGATGTTTTTCGTGTGTGTGACTAAGCCTGTATATTTGTTTGTCGTATTGATTTCAATTAAATACTTCAGAGTTGGATCTTGAGTGGCTTAATTTGTAACGTGCATTCAGAACATGAAAAACACGGGAGAGGTCTTTGGTATTAGACACAAGTGTTTTTGTGTCTTTGTGTCTCTTGTACCTGGAATCCATCACCATCAAAGCTCTGCTGCTAAAAGCTCCAGACTGAGAGAATCAGCGACAAGCACATGAACAAAATTCGTGCTTTCAAATAGAATCTGTTTTTTTTATTATTATTCCACAACACACCAGTGGAGTAACCACCTCCATTTATAAAACATCTGAACCGTTTAGTGAACAATAGAGATACGCATTATCAATTAACGAATTAATCTAAAGTTGATTGATCTCATCGACAGGCTAAGGATTAATTGATAAGCGGCCATTTTCTTAAAAACCTGAGTTTTCTCACATCAAGAAGGCCGAGCGTCTTTCCGTAACATAAAGGGCTACTGTTAAAAGTTTTCAACTTTAACATTATTTTGTTAGCCTTATTATGAACTGCCTGAGTAAACAGAACACTGTGGTTTTCAAACATTATCAAACTTAGACGTATTTATAAAATGTAACACAACAAGAACCTCTTAGAGTCCTGAATAGAAAAAGAAAAGATGAAAATAGTGAAATATGTGAAACACCTTATCCACAATGAACAGAGAGATATTCACGTACAAGTACTGTGTGTGGTTCCTCTTGAAGGAAAGCTAAAACTTCGCTCCAACAGCCTTCAGATTCAACCTTCCTTATTTTCACAATGCTTCTTTCCATCATGTTACAGTTTTTCATCCCTGTTAACGCGACAACTTGAGCTCGACAAGAGTTTATATTTCAATACAGAATTGCATAAAGTGTGCTTTGCATCCCACGACAGACTCTGTCTGGACCGTTTCTCTTTCTCATTCCGGTACGTCCCCGCCATCTTTGTTTCTGCAACTCCGATGGATGGCGGCCAAACTGTAACGCTAGAAACAGGTCAAAGTGAACGACACTAATCGATCAGAACAATTTTTAATCTAATAAGCCATTAGTCGTAAGTTGATTAATTGTTTGCATCCCCAGTGAACATTTCAATGGCTGGTAAAAAAAAAAAAAAAAAAAGACATACTTCATGCAGACACAATCAACAGTTGATGTTAATGTGTTAGGTTTTTACTAGGACACAGAGGTTGTTGGAAGATTATGGCTTCATTTCATGCGTTTATCTCATCTCAGGTTCCAGGACTGGACAGTGATTTCAGAAAGTTTGCAAACTTTACATTTTGAGCGTAACTTCATTGTTTGAGAGTGTTTCTGTAAACATTCAGGTTTTGTCTCTAATGTCGATGAATGTGCAAAGAGAGAAGCGCTCTCATCTTTTCCATGCATTAAAATATAGCAACTATGGCTGGTCTGGATTATATCTGGGGTTTTCTTATGTTACGTTAGCAGAGGTATTTACAGGTTACACGTCATCCCCTGCATACAGCCAAACACATTTGAGACATATTATTTGGCTCATTCTGCTTATTGTCTTTAGTTTCTAGGAGGTGGAGTGGATTTCCTCCTTTTTTTTGTTGCAGGAACAGAAACCTCACCACCACTCAGGCGGGGAGCTGTTTAAAGGCAACAGAGCTCCAAACAGCGGTGGGGAATTTTCTCGTCTTCCATCCGTCAGCATTCAGATGACGTTGTCAAACAAGTGCATGGAGTGCATGATGTTTTCATCCTGGATTGGAGCATAAGAGACCAAAATTAAAATCATTTTATTAGCTGCATGCGTGTCTGGAAGGGAGTAAACTTCCAACCTTTTGGCATGTCTCCAAGAATTCCTCAATGGTGACCACTCCATCTTTATTCTTGTCCATTTTCTGGGAAAACGTGAGACGCAAGTGGTTCAGGGAGGAAATCTGAAGTTCTTTGTTTTACATTTTTGCAGTGTAAGTTTAAAATATGGACTTCTACACATGCATTGAGGTGCAAATTTAATCATAAATAAAAAATAAAAAATAGATCAAATAAATGCATCATCCACTACTGCACTACTAGTTCAAACATACACAGAGACATTGTAATCTTGCGTTAAGTGCTAACATTTGTGTGGGGTAGTTATTAGAAGCAAATCAAAAAGAATCACCACTGAATGCGGGTTGCCGGTGATTCGACAAGTTTCACGGTTTGAACCTATGAGAACAGCAGCGCCTTCGCAGTAAATCCAGATAGAAAATATCAACAACCGTTTGGAGTCACTTTCTTCTTAATGGCCTGAAGTAAACACCATTCAGGCCAGTTCCAGTGCCTCTTCATTTAACTGTGGGTTTAATCGTGTCAGCGTTTTACCTGGAAGAAGCTGTCAACATGTTCCTTTGGAGCGCTGTCCCTCATGCTGGGGTAAGTGTGCTTCCCCATCATGTTGTAGATAGAGTGCATTATGTCTGTCATCTCCTGAAGCAAAAGAAGGGAGGAAGCAATAATAAGAAATGTTGAAGCAGACCAGGGCAGCTTACACAAAGAGTGAGCGTACTTCTCTGGTGATGCAGCCGTCCTTGTTCAGGTCGTACAGATTGAAGGCCCAGTTCAGTTTGTCAGTGATGGATCCTCTTAAAATGATGGACAGACTTACCGCAAAGTCCTAAAGCAGGGGAGCAGGAAAAAAAAACTAAGCTCGAATCAAATCAGGACAAAATGTTGACGAGTTTATACATCTTTAGTTTATTTTTAAGGCTGTTATACTAAAACTGCTTCAGAAGTAATGACTGATTAAATGGTTGAGAACATACGCCTTTTATAACCTATTATTATTGATATTATTCAAGAGTCTGAGGACAGACGAAAGTATGAGAGGGAAGAGAAATATCTCACTTCAAAGCTAACCAGTCCATTGTTGTGGGTGTCAAAGGCTTCAAACAGGAAATGTGCGTACATACTTGAATCTAAGAAAAAAAAAAGAAACAATGAATCTAAATTTATTCACTGTACTAATATGACATTCTAAGCTTTAAGCAAAAGACACTTTTAAATTGAGTTCCTAGTCAAAAGGAAACTGTAAAATTAACAGCAGACGTAATCATTTTCCTTGTTTGAGATATATTAATTCTTTTAAATTGTCGTCCCATCATCCTCTTACCACTTCCTGTCATCTTCTTAGTCTTTTTCACCAGTAGTAACTTCCGATTGTTAACACGACTCGTGTGATGCAAAAGAAAAGTATTTCCATTGCACCTTTGCAAAATACATTAATTTTGATACAGCCAAGAAACCACCTCATCCCAGCTCAAAAACCTATAAGAGAAATGCGACTTGTTTTTTTTTTTATATCTTTTTTTTTTTTTTTTTAATTGGCGTGTTTCCATCAAGCTAACATATTTTTCAGAATTTCAATTTGCAATTTTATGGTCAATGGAAGCGTAGTTTATGACAGGCGGAAGGTCTTTACTGTCTAGTTTGACATCCGAATGTGAAAAAGCAGATTTAAAGTTTCACTTCCCCGACCTACACACACAACACATACTGAAGGCAGAGAGTTCACGGCAAAATAAAAACACTGACAAAGGCAAGAGACACTGGCTGACCTCCCTGTGGGAAGAAGTGGGAGTAGATACTTTTAAACATATCCTCGTTCACAACACCACTGGGGCACTCCTGCAGATACCAGAAAAAAGACACGTCAGCAGTCTGCTCACATACGCATACAGAATATAACAATTACAGATATTCTCAATATTAAAACCTCCTAGCTGTCATGAGAAACCATTTTCTGGCATGTAGGCGTTTTGCATGTGACAGTTAAGGAGTTAATGAATGTAAGAGAGTCGCTCATTCCCAGCAGTTCTTCAAACTGACATTTTTGAATCCCCGGTAAAGAACCTGCAGCTCCTTTTTGCTGAAATTCGTCTGCTGAACCAGACTGTCAAGCCCCTCAGGTCTGTAGCACACTGTGGACAGCTCCCCCTCTTCAGTTATACTTCCTGTTTAGAGAAACAGAGAAACAGTGACGTCTTACCAACAGAGATCCACACTGAAGCATCAAAGGGCGTGGAAAAAAGATAATTTTATGAAAATTTGTGTAATACCACTTGCTTTGAGTAATTGAAGGGCTGGAGCCAGAGTGATAGCAGGGCAGCAGTTTGAGGAAGCGCTGCTTAATTGTCTTTTTGTTGGGTTTGGTAAGAGGGTTACCTGAAAGCAGCAAACAGGAAAAATAAACCATGGTGACAGAGCACAATCCAAACACTCCGAGCGGTACTTATTGAAATTTAAGACAGACTAATGTGTGAACTATTTTCTGTGTAATAGTTAAAACATTACACAGAAAATGTGTAATGTGTGACACACCTGTTCTGCCACTTTCTGAGAAAGAGAAGTACTATCCAATATATCAACAAAAAAAAAAAAAAGATTTACTGGCTTCTGTTTTTGTAGCAATATACGGTTGATAATCCATGATATCAAATGCAAAAAACTTAAATATCATTAATCAAATAATACTCTAAGGGAAATCCTACATACCTAAATCTAAAGTTTAGTAATTTTCCTGGTGTTTCAGAGAGTCTGAGCAGTATAAACATCTCTGTTTCTAATAAAAAGAAAAGAAAATGAGAATAAAAACAATTTATTTACAATCCCGCTGGCTTCTATTCATTTGTATAAATGTCTACTAACAACTGCCTTGTGTTAATATTATTATTTCAATGAAGTTTTGATTTAAAAATAAATAAAACGTGAAGCGGACACCCAGGCTCACTCTCCAGCACGGTAGATGGCGATAATGCTTCTTAAAGTTGGATACCACCGATAAAATAAAAAAAATAAAAAAAAATAAAAAAAATCAAAGAAGAAGAAGAACGAACGTTCGCAGAGGCAGATTCTTCCGTTTGAGGCAGAACAAAGCAAGCTTTCTTTAGTTTGGATGAAGGCTGAGCTCCAACTACCCAGAAACTGTTTAAGGAACATCAGAAGAGAAGCTAAAAATGGAGACGGCAGCTCGGACTGTGGCTGAGAGCATCAGAGGGAGAGATTCCTGAAGCAGCTAAAGACGAAAACAAGGTGCGACACATCATGGAGGCTGGTTTCAACCCCGCGGTTCTGCTGAACGGCTTAGGTTAGTATGTTTTCTTTTCAGCTATAGCTTAGGAACATTTAAAGGTGACTAATGGATAACTTTGTGAGCTCAAATGTAGCCAGTAGATGTAAAACATTGTGTTTTATTTTCTCGGTAGAAATATTCCGCGTCCTTCATGTTGTTAGTGATCACTCGGGCTTGGAAACCGATTATGCTAAGAAACGGGATTATGTGTTAAAGCAGAGACAACGACTTTTAGCTAATAAGGATGCATAATATATTTTTGTATTTTGAAAGATGTTATCAAAAGAAGCTATTGCTCGTTTGTCACAATAGATATGGTGTTCCATTAGTACCAAAGATATGTCTGTGTGTATGACATCTTTATTAATGCCGCAATAGAAAAAGCAAAGAGTCAGGGAAGAGACATTAGACCAGAGGCCAGGAGCAGATCTTCTCAGGAAAGGAGGGATTATAGCTTGTTAAGAAAAAGAGAAGGAAACTGATGTTTATGTGCAGCAATTTCAACTTTATTTTTTTGTAAGACCTTGTTATGGCACACAACACAGCCACTTTGACCGCAACATTTTGAGAAGGGTGCCACAAAATCAGTAATTTTAGGCTGCAACAATCACAGACAAAAGAGTGTCCTTTGCAAATACTGCAGTCACTTGGATAAATAACAGCCAGCAAAGCAAAAATATTGCACCAAGCCACAGACACTAAGCTAAGAATACCTAATACAAGAAATACTTAAATTTTGTACCCTAAGAATATTTAGTTGAGCCTACAAATACTTATCGTTGTTCATTTTAGGTCATTTTTCTTTTAATTTCTTTTTACTTTTAAATGTGACTCTGTATTATGGGGCCTCATGCAAAATATGATTTAGGGGCGCCATGCTAAGCTTAATAACAATCAGTGATAATTTGTTATTTGCTGAGGTATATTTGTGAACAGACCAAGCTCAGACACAAAGATTAAACTCATAGCATCAGGGTGTAGCTACAACTACAATCAAACTATGAATTTTATTCTTTGCACTTTTACATAATTAACTAGCTGAAATTTAAATGTGAAATCATTTAAAGCTACTAGTTTGTATATGCTGAAACACTAAAACTGAATTTTATTGTGATGTACTTCTGACTAAACGCATATTGAAATTCTGGATCTATTACTCTGAATTTGACCAGCTTGTTTGAAGACCAACCCAATAGCTAATTACTTATTTGGGATTTAAATGGAAAGCAAAAATATATAGAAATATATGATATTACTTATACGTTTTATTAGCTTTTTCTAAAGAATATAGTTATGTGTTTTTAAGTACTAATATTATTACCTAATCATATTGAATTCTGTCAACTTTTATCTTCTTTTGATGCAAACACTTGGCACACTGTTGGTGGACTGCGCTAGCACACCTACCACTACCAGGTGACCTTTCACATTGACAGCAGGCTGTGCAAGTGCACTGGTATAAACACAGACAACTTTTATTCAAAATATAACAGTCTATTAACTAAGACAATTTGCTGAATTGGGTATTAACATCCTTTTGGATAATTAACAAGACGGCGCTTAGTCAAACTTTTTAGTTGAAGTTTGGTCAAGCTAAGAAGTTTATGGTATGGTACATTTCAGTACCATATTTAACTGGTACTTTGCAGTCATCATAAAGACACTGACGTCATCATTAATGTCTGCTCAGGATGACAAAATAAATGACTCGTGTTGTAAACACAGCAAAATCAAGAACTGCTCCTTAGCCTAAGCGCTACAGAGCGTTTAATTGCAGCTGAAATAAATTATACAATTTGACAGGTTTTCAGGGTTTCTCCCAGTGTGTTATAAGCTTGGTGGGCTTATTACCAGTTAATAACCTTACAAAACAGATGTTTATACCCAGGGCTCAGTGGTTTGTTTACACTCGAGCCATTTAGCCTTAGACATGGCACAAATACACAATCAAGAGAACAATATTTAAATGGTCTTTTTTTTTCTAAGCTAATTTTCTCTGACCTCACTGGAACAATTTTTAGGAACGGGGAGATTTCCGGTGGTTAGTGAGTTGACGTTCCAATGTACAAATGGACGTGGCGGCAGCAGTGGTTAAACAAGCAGTGAACAGATCAATTTGGATCTAGTGTTCCTTCCTTCAGAGTTTTAACAAGCCATGATGTCACTTGACCACTCTGTGAAACTCCTTTTTCCTGGGAATGAAAATGGGTGATGAGCATAATGTGTTTCCATGTTTGCTCCAGATGTTAAGCAGATGCTGATGGTTAAAGAAGAAACTCCTGAAGACCACAGATCTGTTGCTGAGCTGCATGACCCAAAGCCCCAGCAGATAAAGGAGGAGCAGGAAGAAATCTGCATCAGTGTGGGGGGAGAGCATCTCAATAAGGAGATTGATGCCATCAGGTTTCCAGTCTCTACTACTCCTATAAAGAGTGAGGATGAAATACAGTCCATTCTTCTCTCACAGAATCTTTATAAAGACCAGATTAAAGGCAGAGATCTTCCAGAAGAAAACGATGACGGAGAATCCATCAAGATTAAAGAAATCGAACCGTCTCCGCAATCTTCTGAGACTGAAGATTCTGAGAATGACGAGGAGGACGACGATGTAAACCACGTCTCTGAGTTGAAACACTTGTCAGATTCTGGACCGAAAACTAATGACAAGAGCAATGCCTGGAAGTCAAACGGAGACATTCTTAACAAATCTTTTAGCTCGTTTGAGTTTGATGTTCACAGTTACTCTCTTCAGACCGGCGGGACACGTTCACAAATGGGGTCTTCAAGCTCAGTTGATGATAATAAATGTTTTACAGAGGAGAAAAATGCAGATTCACAAAGTAAAGTACAGACAGAAGGGAAGTTTAGCTGCGACGACTGTGGTAAAACATTTGCTAGAAAAAATACTTTAAACAGACATAAGAGAACCCACACAGGACAGAAACCTTTCTGTTGTGATGTTTGCGGACAAAGATTTAACCTAAAACAAACTTTAAACATACACATGAGAATCCACACGGGACAGAAACCTTTCTGTTGTGATCTTTGTGGACAAAGTTTTAGCCACAAATCAACTTTAATCAGACACAGGAGAGTCCACACAGGAGAGAAACCTTTCTGTTGTGATTTTTGTGGACAAAGATTTACCGATAAAGGGAGTTTAAACACGCACAGGAGAATCCACACAGGACAGAAACCTTACTGTTGTGATCTTTGTGGACAAAGATTTCGACAGAAATTACATGTAAACATACACATGACAGTCCATACGGGACAGAAGCCTTACTGTTGTGATATCTGCGGAAAAAGACTTGGCCATAAAGTAAGCTTAAGCACACACATGAGAATTCACACAGGACAGAAACCTTTCTGTTGTGATATTTGTGGACAAAGATTTAGTCAGAAATCAAATTTAAATACACACATGAGAATCCACATAGCAGAAACCTTTCTGTAGTGATATTTATGGACAAGGATTTAGTAGTAAATCACTTGTAAACATACACTGTGTGTGTCCGCACAGAACGGATACCTTTCTTTTATGCTTTTTGTGGTGAAAGATTTGGTGAAAAACAAAGTTTAAACACTCATATGAGAATATGAGAATCCACAAAGGACAGAAACCTGTCTGTTGTAGACGAAGATTTAGACAGAAATCACATATAAACACACACACACATGAAAATTCATCCTGGAAGAGAAACACTTGAACTGCATTGTTGCAGTTGGCTGAAAAATATTTGCTTGTCATTAAAGGCAACAGTCTCCACTGGTTGGTTTTCAGCAGTTAATTCAGATCATTTTCGTATCTGGGGCTGGGCAATATGGCTGAAATACATAACACAACATAACCATTTCATATCACAGTAATTATTGTTTAGTTGTTTGGTTTAAATATTCATAATACTGCCAAACTGGTGATGTGACCTTTCCTCTTGCGCAGTTGTTCTCATTTCTTTTCACTCCGTGTTGTGCTTTTCTACTTTTAAGGATTTATGGGAAATGGTGACAAAACTTGAAAGTGCTCCCACATACTGAAACATTCCGTGAACTGACCATGGGCGGCTGAGATTTTATTGCCGAGCGCAGCAATTGCCTGCATTTCTTGTGACAAATGAACTCATTTGCCACAACCTGAATGAATAATATCACGTTTAGTAAGCTAGATGGACAAGTAGGCCTCTTTCTTCTCCACCAGGGCATCCATCGCACAACTGTCGGTGGCAGCCACGGCACTGCGACTGGCGTCTGTCGGACGTATTTTTTCTATTTTCTATTGATATTGATCACGTCTATCACAAAAGACATTGTTTCATTGCCCAACCCTATTCAATCTTAAAACATTTTATATAAATCACTGATTTGCTCAGTTGTGTAACTGGTGGTTTCTTTGGCAGGCATGTTTTATTAACTGTGTTTTATCTATTGTTCAGATTGAGCTGTGGAACAGGTGTGTTATCAGTTTATGTAAATAGTTTGGTTGTTTCAAGAAAGAGAATTAGAGCACCTCTTGGTAATTGAGCTGACTATGACCTCCTTTGTACAGCAGAGTATTCTTGAATCAAGATAGCCGAAGCTCTGGCCAAAGTAAAACATCCACAGGACAAAGATCCTCAGCACAGCAGCAAATCTAAAAAGAATTTGATTTAAAAACTTTGTCCTCTTGGAATTACTATAATCTCATCAGAGCTGGGCTGAGATGCAGACCTCAACGAAATGAATTGGAGAAAAAAAAAAGCCCAAGATTTTATTTTTGTGTCTGCATTTAGTCGTCTGATTGGTGTTCATGGCGAAACTTCCAGGTTCTGCTGGAAGTTTCCTCCTTTTGAGACTATTTTTCCTTTTCACTGTCACTGTTGAACATCCAGCAATGAGGGTCTGAAACTGACGTAAGGGTGGTGTAAGGACTATCAATCCCACAATCCACTACATTAACCCACTTTCAGTTTCAGTAGGAAAATTAGTAGTTTTGGGTACGAAACTGATCATGCTGCATTCCAGTTATCTTGTAACTGGGATTTTTCAGTCGGGTTTGATGTCAGACCTGAGCTATAACAGCGTTCTAGTTACAACTGGGTCGTCTGTTTTTTTTTTGTTTGTTTGTTTGTTTGTTTGTTTTGTTTTATTTTATAGTCTGTATTTTTGCTCTTTTTACCGGAACAACCTCATCTTCTGTCAACCACAGCTTCTTCTGCCCTTGGTTTGTGAAGTAGTTTTCAGATGCGTATCTCTGTGGCATGCTGTGAAGTGTAACTCCAAGAAAAAAAAAAAAAAAAGCAGCAATCTCCTCCTGAAAATTGCTGTTGTGTATTTAGCTTTTGATCCTGATTGGGACCCAGCTTCTTGTGGAAGACGAAACAATGTCCAGAAAGCAGCTGGAAAACCGTCACTGGCCGCCTTTAGGATCTATATTTGGTGGAGTTTGTTCCCAGCATTTGGTCAGATGTGCAGTCTCCTCCTATGATTTTGTTGTACTCGCCCACAGCTGTTGGTTTGGGGACAGATACCGTCTGATGTTTCCAATCTTCTGCCAGAGGAGCGCTGTCGCCCCTTTGTACACAGAACGGACATTTGTACAAGTGGAAACCTCTCTTGTATCCATCCATATTGCAAATGGAGGGTCGTGATCTCTTTGAATGTCTTGGTGACCTTTTACGCAGGCCATTTTTCTGCGGTTGTACAAAACCAACTCTCCCTAGCCGGAAACCCCCCAAGGCCCGAATCAGAAACTATTGGAGTCGGTATCTGAGAGTACTTGCTTGTGATTGGTCAAGCAAGTACCAATCACATAAGCACCACCGAGGGCTGCTGTAATGCATCATGCACATTTTTTCTATGTATGTGTACATAGACAAAACAATGTTAACTGGTTTCTCAAATTGGTGACTGTGTGGTGTTTTTATGACGTTTTATTTTGGGGTTTTATGATGTGAAGCACTTTGAACTGCTTTGTTGCTGAAATGTGTGATGCAAATAAACTTGATTCATTGATATATGCCCTCAAAGTGAAATTTCTCAACATGTTGGCACTTTTTAAAATTTCTCTATGTTGAACAGTTCAGGAATTACAATAATGAGCCAAATGCTTGGTAATAAAGACGGTTAAGAAGTCGGGATTTCAACATGGTGACGCAAGTGAGCATTGCTAGCAATACCTCTTACGAACATTTTAAGCTTTACTTTCCATAAACAAACTTGGGAAAACTCATTTGCAGGCACTACATGTTTTATTGACTGAAAACACACACTTTCTTGTGTGTCTCGTAACAAATGTGTTTCTACCACATCTTCCTGTTGATGCATTGAGCGGCCGTAGGTGAAGTCGTAACTGGGGGCGGTCGGAATTGCTTCCGGTTTCCAGGGTGGGAAATCCGACTTCAGAGGGCATTCCAGTGGGTTTATCTGTTTGTTTGTTTGTTTGTTTGTTTGTTTGTTTGTTTGTTTGTTTGTTTTCAAACGACTCATAACACAGCTTTTGTCGCACACCTATTTAAAGTAGAATATTATTGAAGTTTTTATTCTGCTCTAGAAGCAATAGTCCTCGTTTTCCATGAAAACAACTCCATAAAAAGCAGCTTTCCATGACGTCACTTTGACCTCGGGGTCAATGTGACGTGGGGCGAGACGCAAACAAATCAAGAATGTATGACATGAACACACGAGGTTTTCAGGACAGCTGATAAATATTGAATATGACCCTTTCTGAAAGAGCTGCTGGACTTTAGTTTTTAGCAAGAACAGGTTCTATCCCTCAGGCTTTCTTTGTTTAAAGAAACGGTTTGTTTGCATTTCCTCACACCTGTTCAGTGTTTGGTTCACCTGGAGCTGAATCCATGTACCGCCCTGCCTCTGACGAGCAACGTCTTCTGTCACTGAAGTAGTTTACAAAGATTCTGAAATCGTGACGTTAACAGCAGTAAAAGTGGCTTCTTGGTTATTTTTATATGCTACTTCAGATTGTTTCACTATATTTGGGAGCTGTCAGAAGAAGGACAGAGAGACTCAAAGAACAGAGAAATGTGTGTGTGATCTCCACAGAGGAGAGAAAAAAACACAAAGATAAATACAACTGATCTCAGCCTACATAGGCTCCCACTGACAGGTATAACTTTAGCCTTTTTTCACAAAAAAAGTATTTTATTTCAGTGCAGATTCATAAACTATGGTTTATTTTAAGGTATACATTTAAATACTAATTCCTCAACCTGGTGGCAAATTATATACATTTTAAACTATTCTGAGTGGAAGTTTGATCCGTCTTCATGTTAGGAATAATAAAATTAAGAGATGTGTGCTGTGCAAGTACTGGTCTGTGATCAGGATCAGTTTGCAAGTTTTCTCTTTTTTCTTTTCAACCACGACCACAGACATCAAGGTTAGGGTTATTAGAATCTGTAGAGCGAGTACGTCTTACACACACTCCACAAATCTGGCCTTTCCTAAGTGCCCAGATGACAGAAAGCTGCGTTTGTAGTTTATCACGAGAACAAGGCTGTGGCAGCATCATGCTGAGAGCTTGCTTTTCTTGAACATGGTTAGAGATTATATAGCTGCAGCAACAAAGTAATTCCACAAGTTTTGACTCATTAACGCATGTCACAATTTTATGATTTGCCGTTTTTGTTCTGTTGCACTTACATCCTACTTAATTACATAAAACCCAAATAAAACACTGTGAAGCTTGTGGCAGTGACGTGAAAGCTTTTGCACTCTTTACTCCAAAGATGTTAAAGGTGAAACAACCGCATTAAGAAAAAAAATTCTCTGAAGAATTCAGAGCAGCTACTATTACTATAAATAGATTATTTCTAAATAAATCTTTCTACCCATAAAACGCCTCATGATTTTGAGCAACAGTGAGTCTTTTTTTTTTACTTCAAATTTCCCATCCTTCATCCTAGTGACGCAAAAAAAAAAAGTGGATATGCGTTAAATGCGACCCATAGGGGCGCTGCGCTAGTGGGGGCGCCAAAGTGATGGCAGAAAAATTCATTCTCGTCCGCATTTTTGGGATTTAACAGCTGCCTGTGGGCGTGTAAATAATGTAGTCAATACCAGAGGCATGACCCTGATTAGGCGGCACCAATGAGGGGCGCCGGATGTACACTTCATGAAGTAGTTGTGCTCCTGCTTTCTCCTGTGGTTGCGTCACGATCATTGCTCTATGTTACCTTCTGACATTAAACAGCATCAAGATCAAATCCATCCAGCTTCCCCCCCCCCCCCCCCCCCCCCCACTACCTTACTTTGAATTTATGTTTTCTTTGAAAACCGCTTT